GGGGGGGGGGGGGGGGGGGGGGGGGGGGGGGGGGGGGGGGGGGGGGGGGGGGGGGGGGGGGGGGGGGGGGGGGGGGGGGGGGGGGGGGGGGGGGGGAGGCATAGCGATATTTAGTGTAAGGGTCTTGACAACACCGCTACCAACTGTCGTCAAGTTCATACTTCATACACACATACGTTTGGAGCGCGTTGAAGGCGGACGCTTATTTCTTACCAACTTGGGAAACTACCTAGACAATTCAAGATAACGTAAAATCTTACTTCCCCAACCTCAAGTCGCACACATACATGGAACGTAATTGAACTACAAACCGCTTATATATATATATATATATCACGTGCAATCTTCGGCCATGGCGCCGCTACAACATTGACACACGTAACACTGTCGAAACAACGGGCCCAACAAAAAACGCTAGTAATTATCCAACCTGCGCTCACGTAAGCACGCGTCTCACTTCTTGGATAAGAGTGGGGTACAGACCTCCGTGGCACAAATTCAACGCGAAGGCACCTGCAACAGCATACCTTTCAGTTCCCCAGAGGTTCCACCTTCCTCCTAGCTGGCCACTCCCCAGCCCCTTCAGGCTCTCAAACTGGAGGTCCTCCCCGAGGTGAAGGCGGAACACAGCTCCCGTGTCCTGCCACATCAGGACCCAGTCTCCCGCGATGGCCGCCTTTGAGTACTTGGGGGCGACGTACTTGGCCTGCGACGCGCGTCCGAAGGTGCGACGTGATGCGGGTGACCGCCAAGTGGTTACGATTACGCTCGTGGGCGGTGTTCGATACATAAGACTCAAAAACTACGATGTAGACCACTCAGCCAAGCCCCATCGGAGTAAACAGGCGGCTTGTTCTTGGAGGGAACAGCGGCTGCGCTCTGCAGGCCGATTCGAAGCACGATAATAACAAGCAAGGCCTGTACACTCGTAGCCACCTCATACACCATGAGTCAACACCGTCATACGGAAGGAATTGATCATTTAACGCCACACTTCGAACACCGTGGCAAGGCCACGGCAACCCTTCTTGAAACAGGCATCTGCTCATCTTTGTACTCCAATGTGGAGTTGCTGACTTGTGACAACTCCGTGTGTTTCGATGGTGTGATCGTCATACCAACGTGTTTAGACCTTCAACATCGACAGAGCTGACACATACCCGTAAATGTTGCAGTGGCAGAGTCATACCCGCAACTGCTGCAGTGGAAAAGTCACTGGATTTACGTAAAGGTGGCCAGACGGTAGGGGTTGCTGAAGGGCCGACAACATCTTTCAACAACAGCAGCAACACGGACCGAATCGTTCGCCTCGGCGGCTTTTTTAAGGTCCGACGCCATGGAGGACTCCACCGGCGTCATCTTGAACTTCCCGACCACCGCAGGGTCCATCTGTCCCTCGATCACGCTCCCTTCCACCACAGAGCTGAACTTCTTCAGCACGCCGACGTACCTGCGCAGAAACCGGCCACAAGAAAGAGAAAAAATCGAGAATACGCGTAAGGAACGCGCTGGACCAGATACGAGGGGGAAGTTCAGAGTGCGTGTGTGCGGAAATTAACGATAGGCTTGATAGTTGTGGAAGAAGCCGGGCAGCGGGCGCGAAGAACGCGGAGTGTTTTGTTGCGGACGTTGTTGCGGCACAACCTGCATGCAGACTAATTCCCACGAAACACATAGATTCAACCGCCACGAAAGTTTGAGTCTTGAGTTGTTGCGTGTGCAAACACCAACACCTCGCTGATGCTCCCGCTGCTGCCGTGCCCCCTTCCGCCGGTGCCGCCCTCGTCGCCGCTGCGTCCGTCCGAGGGCCCGGCGCCAACGCGACGACCGGGGACGACGTCGCTGTTCCTGCTGCCGTCGTACCTACCGCCGCCGGCGCCCGCTCCATCGCCGCTGCGTCCATCGGAAGGCCCGGCGCCAACGCGGCGACCGGGGACGACGCTGATGCACCCGCTGCTGCCGTACCCTCCGCCGCCGGCGCCGCCTCCATCGCCGCCACGTTCGTCTGAAGACCCGGCGCCAACGCGGCGACCGGGGACGACGCCGCTTCTGCCGTTCCCCCCGCTCCCCCCGGTGTTTGCCATCGGGGTTGGGTTTTCGTCGCTTGGCAACGACGTTGTAAAACAAGCCGCCCCCCCCGGTGTTTGCCATCGGGGTTGGGTTTTCGTCGCTTGGCAACGACGTTGTAAAACAAGCCGCCCCCCCCGGTGTTTGCCATCGGGGTTGGGTTTTCGTCGCTTGGCAACGACGTTGTAAAACAAGCCGCCCCCCCCGGTGTTTGCCATCGGGGTTGGGTTTTCGTCGCTTGGCAACGACGTTGTAAAACAAGCCAAGTCACTTCGTGAACTCGGCAACCAGGGTACCGTTTTGCNGGCCCGGCGCCAACGCGGCGACCGGGGACGAGGCTGCCGCTGCCGCTGCTGCCGTGCCCCCCGCCGCCGACGCCTCCACCGTCGCCGCTGCGCGTGTCTCGCTGCCCGGCGCCAACGCGGCGACCGGGGAAGACGCTGCCGCTTCCGTTGCTGCCGTGCCCCCCGCCGCCCAGAGTAGCCGCCCCTCCGGCAGCTCCATCCCTGCTATGGTACCCAGGCGCATAGCCAGCGCCGCTTATCCTCGTGTTACCTGCCGCATACCCGGCATCACCCACTCTCCTTCTCGCGGCTTTCTCCGCTGAACTCCTCTCCTCTGCCTCCTCAACTCTCCTCTGCAGATCCGCCATCTTGGCTGCCGGGGCTGCCGCTTCCCCGGCTGCACGCTCGGCTTCCTGCTTCATCTTCTCCATTTCTTCTTCTAATTCTTTCTCTCGTGCTTTCGTCATCGCTGAACCAACACCTGGCCTAGCTAGGCTCCACTCTACGATATCGTGTTAGTGTGCACTGCCGCCCTCAGCGGTCTGTGGTGTTGAGACTGGGTGCCATGTTATTCCAGGAACAGCAGATGAAAACGAACCACGCATTATTTATATTCGTCACGCAAGCCCCTCAGGCAAGCTGGTCACCAACACGCAAGCCCCTCAGGCATATGAGCTCGTGGGCTCTTTCTCTCTCTAGAACCGGGGGACTTCTCCTACCCCCCATATACTTCATACCCATACACGTAACCCCCACNGCACTGCCGCCCTCAGCGGTCTGTGGTGTTGAGACTGGGTGCCATGTTATTCCAGGAACAGCAGATGAAAACGAACCACGCATTATTTATATTCGTCACGCAAGCCCCTCAGGCAAGCTGGTCACCAACACGCAAGCCCCTCAGGCATATGAGCTCGTGGGCTCTTTCTCTCTCTAGAACCGGGGGACTTCTCCTACCCCCCATATACTTCATACCCATACACGTAACCCCCACCAGGCGCATACAGCGCATGTAGATCGGACACATATCCAAAGTACCACAAACAGTTTCAAATCTTTTTGCGCATCTGCTGTGACCAATATGAGGCATCAATGATCAGCATTAATAGTATTTCCATCACCAACATACAGCCCCAGCCAATGCATCATCAGCACATGACGTTTTTCCTCGATTCTAGCGTTTATCCATTCACGTATTTGATAGCAGACCAAGAAGCAAAAGAAGAGTGGTATTGAACGTCTATTCGATTTGTGTTGAATTTTCGTAGGACAGCACTACGCCCAAATACAGACAGACTTCTCTGCTCCACGCGGTCAGATTCGAACTCGAGCACCCCTTGCTCTCCCGCACTATTTGGGACCTCCGACGGTTGCAACTTTGCCTTCCCCACAGACTAAGCTGCAAGCAGTTTCCTCCACTCACTACCAGCAGTACATATGGTCCAACTGCCGTTTCGTCTCCTGAGAAACATAACCAGCTCGATCACGGTCGTGGGCGTCATTGCCTGCCAACAATATAGTTGTACACGAACTCAACAATGCAATCCCCCTCTCTCCTATTGAGCAATCAGCGCTGTCATTCGTCCATGCAAAAGGTGTCTAGTGTGTGTGGGCGGGCGGTACGCACGTAGGAATAGGTAGGTGCGCATTTGTTTTTTGTTTTTGTGCTTTTACCTTTTCTGTGGGTGTGTACGCGGAAGCCCGTGCACACACATCAAACGCATATCTTCTTGTGCATGCTCGAAACTCACGCTGCGCAAGACCAGTGACGCCGTGGAAAAATACCGAGGCTGCATTGCGATTTGACCCGCATTTTTTGCGTTGTCAACCGGCGATTATGTGGCGGAGTAGCTCAAACCGTTCCGCGAAAGACGCCCTTGCAGGGAGTATTGGGAAACCTCAGGGAGCGGAGCAGAGAGGTTGATCCGAGGACAAAATTCACGGAGCAGACTTGGAGCGGAGCGTTTTTTTTTGCTCGTGTACGAAGCGGAGGGGAGCGGTATAATTTCATTAGAAAGTCTCACGGAGCGAAGCGGAGCCTTTTGCAGAAGAATAACGCAAGGTGAACAACCCTGTACTACTATTTGCTGCATGAGATGCGACACCACCGAAATTCTACTTTTCGGGAAGCTCTCGACGAGGTGGTTCCGACGCCTAGCCATTTTCCCGCATCGTCACTGCTGTTTCGCTTCCACATGTTTTGTGCTGAGGTACCTCTGTAATCGGGGTTTAACAATCGGCCCAGGGGGGTGTGAACTCTTGCGCATCCTACAGCAGTTTCCCTTCGGAACTTGCAGACATATCCGTTACCCGCGCACAATCTCTACCCTCTTGACCTAATGTACAGCTAGCTGCCCTGGCTACTTGAGAGCATTAAACGGTGATGATTGGCTTTGATCCACACGCTTACTTGAGGTCGTCCAGAAATCTGGACTGTGACTTTCGGTTGACCGTGAGGGAGAACTCGTTTCCTCGCACGCGCCAGCGCCCCGCGTGATCGTCCTTCCCGTCAGCCCCGCTCACGGCCGTGTGCACTGGGGGGTGCGGGACGTTCAAAACAAGAGAGCGAACCGAGACATAAAAGCCAGCGGTGGTTACTAAGGCACAAGTTGGGGGTTTTCCTTCGACATGCAGAAAATACGCACTCTGCTGCCTTCAAAGGGGGAGCGGGCCTCGGCCTCTGCCTGTATGCAGTGCACAACTCTGCCTACCGTCGCCATCAGAACCACAGAAAAAAATGGTTTCTTGCAGGGGTCCTGAGTCCTGAATCCTGGGTACAACATTTCCTACGACGCCGGTAGTCTCGCGAACAACGGCAGTGTCATCGAAGCCGTGGCAACGTGACGACTACCACAGCGGTAAATAGTGCTGTTTGGAACACATGTAGTATTCAATCAAAGCCCACTCGAGATCGAACCACAGCAAATTGCTAGGAAAAGCAAATGCAAACACAGAAAGACAACCCTTTCGAGATATAACCGCAGTCGGACAGGATGTAGTGGAGTCTTTACAGCGGTGAGTGGGGTAAAAACCGGCTGGGTACTGGACTTGTTTCGAGCAAATCAAGGGAGATGGGTGCCCCCAATTTTGAAATTTTGAATTTTGAAAATATCGTCAAGTTCAGGACCCCAGGTCTCAACATGCAGCCAAAGAACCGCTCCTGACTTTGTGAACCTGTAGAGGATACCTTGAAGTGTCCACAAGAGGTTGCGGGACATTTTGGATTCAAAAGATGATAGCAGGAGACCTGTTTGACAAAATGACTGTGCCACGGAAACATCATACAAGCGCGGGTCTAAAGAGAGAGGCTCCGCGTCATCGTGGCTTCTGATGGAAGAAAAAGAGGAGTAACCAGAAACGGGTATACCGTAAATGACACAATATAAGAAACCCCGGTGGTAACATTTTG